ACAATGCGTCTGCAGTATCAACTCCACGTTTCGTTGAATTATAAAATAATATCACTTCCGGTTTGGTTTTTATTAAATTGCTGTCAACATCTGTTGTTGCATGCATAGTGGAACCTAAAAGAACTACTCTACCAGTCTTAGGTATGTAGGAAAGTAAGATTTGATTTGTTTTAAACCCAAATGATGTGTAGTGTTCTCTTCCTTTTGTAGTCACAAATTTATTCGGAATAAATTCGCGTTTATTTTTACGAAGTGTACCAGCACACGTAATTTTACATTTTACTATTAAAGTAATTACAACATTCCTTCACGTTTTATTAATTGGTTTCACAAGGCATTCTACGATGGAAACAGGATCATTATTATGCCCTGGCCACGAAAATATCGCCACAAGCGTCAAAAGCAAGACCACGAACTTCAAATGTTCGCCTGCAGCGTCTACAGCAGGCGAGGAATCAGTGGAGTTCAGAGTGAGCACGCCTCGTCATTACACGTGAAAATGTCGATGCCAAAAATATCTAAATATTGTTTTGAAAATAGTTCTTTTGCGATTGAGGAGTACACGATTTAAATAGAGAGAAATTAAAATGTGGTAAAGTTCATTACAGATATAAAAATATTAGACATTTTCCTAACAAATTTTTGAAGTACACTAGAATGAGTGTCGAGACTTTTGAACTACATACTGAACACTATAACCTAACCCAACCATTTTTGAAATCGTCGATCAGCGGTCCACAAATTATTACACCGGCAGAAAAACGAGCCATATGGCAAGCACTATTGAATGCTCATATGCCACAACCAACAGAAGAACATTTAATTAACATACTAAGAGATTTTTTTTAAGATGGCAAGAATTTTCGTATTAAAAAGCCACCAATAAGTGGAAGTGAATACTTTAATTATAAGCACTTTTTTTCTATAGTGCTTCAAGACGTAGCTTATGCAGATTATAAGTTTATCAGAAGTATCAGTATTATTCTAAACTTAGGGTGCGGATGTGAACTCATCCATAGCACTGCGCTGGTCGATTTTGAATTGCAGTTATGAATTCTTCAGTATTCATTACAAATTCAAAACGACTACTAAACAACATACGACAAAACTAAATAATTTATTTCCTGTATAAACTTCAAAATTATTTGTATAACAATTTTGAGCATCACAAAGCAAGCTTTCATTCTATAACAAACAGATTTGTTCTTTATGCATTGGCGACACAAACATCTTTCACGAAACGGTTCTAATTTTTCATCAATGGTTGCGTATTCTGGAAAATATGCAAAAATCATATGTACTAGATATGATTTTTGCATATTTTCCAGTAATCTTAAAAGAATTTCTCGGAAAGGTGCTAATTTATCTATCTTCCATCTTTCGGTCCGATTTCGCACATCATCAAANTTTAGAAATCGTGTGTCAAACTTAATAGACATAAATTCTTTCAACCTTAACTCAATCAAACTGATACTTTTTCTTGCAAAACTAACGACTTTTGTTGTTCGATTTGTGACTGCTATAGTAGCATGGTTCATGAGGAATACATTATTAAAAAAATCACTATTAAATTGAGAACATTTCTGACCGTAGTACCTAAAGATATGATGTACGGGAACGATTTTTAACAGTTTCAAAAATATGTCTATTACCACTTAACTAAGAGACATAGAATGTTTTTCTTATTTTTACCAGAACAGGTCCAAAGTGCACGGTTTTTGTAGCAGTTGAAACAATTGAACAGGTTGCAAATGATCTAAAAAAAGCTAAGAAGTGACGAAGAGTATTAAACATTGTTAGTTATAGCGTCTGAACTAGCAAATTCAGTAAACGTTGTACATTTAACACAACAAACTTTACAGAAATCAGATTAAGACGTCGAAAACGCAATTTCAATAATAAAACTTTTGACAACCCAATACAAGATCCGTCACAAAAATTTTAAGTTGCTGTATATTTTAATTTACTTAACATAATGATTCATTCAATAGAAAAGCGTTTTCAACAGTTATCCTTATTTAATAATACATTTTGTATTTTTGCACAATCTTGCCGCCCTAAGTAATTGGGAAAAAGAGAACGTCATAAAACAAAGTATGAATTTGGAGATTACTCTTACACATAACAATAGAGAAGACATCGACGGCATCCAGCTGGCGGAAGAGTTGAGTTTAATTTCAAAACATTTAAACCCAGGTGATACACCTTATAAAGTTTTGAAATATATTTTGAACAACTTAATTCTTATATATCCAAATCTTTAATTATATCGCTTTGAAAATCCTATTAACAATTCCTGTTAGTGGAGAAAGAAGTTTCTCTCGTTTAAAATTAATTAAAACGTATCTTCGGTCAACAATCGGTTATCAAGTCTGGCAATTTTATCAATAGACAATTATATTGCAAGATCTATAGACATAAAAGGTGCATTGTGAGGTTTTAGAAGCAAAAAGGCGAGAATTTGAATAAATTTTTTACAAATTTTACAATTTACAACGTGTTCAATAAATAAATAGAAATAAATCAAAGTGCATTTTTTAGGCAAAAGCGTCCAAATCCATTTTCGCCTGTAGCGTCCAAATATCTGGCGCCGCACCTGATTCCACGTGTAATGTTGACAAAAAATATGGATGTGATAAAGTACTCAAAGATCTTTAGGATAAATTTATGTTACATCCTGTATTTGCGCTGTCAAAATTATGATTAATGCAGGCATATGACCCATAAAATCGGCTGTTCTAGAATGTTCTAGAAACTGAATACGTTTCACACAATGCGTCTGCAGTATCAACTCCACGTTTCGTTGAATTATAAAATAATATCACTTCCGGTTTGGTTTTTATTAAATTGCTGTCAACATCTGTTGTTGCATGCATAGTGGAACCTAAAAGAACTACTCTACCAGTCTTAGGTATGTAGGAAAGTAAGATTTGATTTGTTTTAAACCCAAATGATGTGTAGTGTTCTCTTCCTTTTGTAGTCACAAATTTATTCGGAATAAATTCGCGTTTATTTTTACGAAGTGTACCAGCACACGTAATTTTACATTTTACTATTAAAGTAATTACAACATTCCTTCACGTTTTATTAATTGGTTTCACAAGGCATTCTACGATGGAAACAGGATCATTATTATGCCCTGGCCACGAAAATATCGCCACAAGCGTCAAAAGCAAGACCACGAACTTCAAATGTTCGCCTGCAGCGTCTACAGCAGGCGAGGAATCAGTGGAGTTCAGAGTGAGCACGCCTCGTCATTACACGTGAAAATGTCGATGCCAAAAATATCTAAATATTGTTTTGAAAATAGTTCTTTTGCGATTGAGGAGTACACGATTTAAATAGAGAGAAATTAAAATGTGGTAAATTTCATTGCAAATATAAAAATATTAGACATTTTCCTAACAAATTTTTGAAGTACACTAGAATGAGTGTCGAGACTTTTGAACTACATACTGAACACTATAACCCAACCCAACCATCTTTGAAATCGTCGATCAACGGTTCTAATTTTTCATCAATCGTTGCGTATTCTGTTAATACATATGATTTTTGCATATTTTCCAGTAATCTTAAAAGAATTTCTCGAAAAGATGCTAATTTATCTATCTTCCTTCTTTCAGTCCGATTTCGCACATCATCAAAACAAAGACGCCTTAGCAGAAACAAAAATTCTTCCTGGACACACAGGAGATGAACCACATAAAAAAGTGTGGGTATTTAAATATGTTGATTACATTACTCCAGCGTAATATAACAATCCAAATAACTCGTTCTCGTGAAAACTCTGGACGTATTTTTCTGTGTATGTGTTAATATATATCACAACCAAATGTAATTATTTAATTATTTGTAATTTATTATTAGTCATTATGCAATTCTAAGCGTCAATTGGCGTCAAGGAATTTTTAGTGTCTCCTCTAATTATAACTTTTAGTCCTTATATTTTTGGAAATAACAGCTCTTTTCCATTGGGTAGCATCACGCCCATGATAGTAGCAATTCGTACCAGACAAGACACCAATGGGATGTCGTCGTCTGACTCGTTGGGGTCGAGACTTTTATCTTGTTTACTCATGATCACTTTCAATAATACCAGCATTTTCTGAATCAGAATCATTTTCTCATTCACCAACACCGGCGACTAAGATCTGTTGCATACGATTGATTAATGTCTCTAGCCTTGGATTCATTATTTTACTAAATAATTCACTTTGGTTACAAAAAAGAGTGTTTATAAAACGCGCGGATGAGTAAAAAGTACACCATTTAACAGTTTAAAAGCGATTCTCATAATTGCAAAGCATGAAAACGGCCTAAATATATAAAAAGGCAATAAAACAAGATATTAGGAAGGTACAAAGAATCCCAGCATCCTTGTTACAGGGGATGACGTAATAAAACGTCTTTTAAAAATGCCCTTCCAGGTTAAAGGGTTAAAGCTTACAACTCAAAAAATTACCCAACATTGAGCGATTAGCAAATATTATTGTTTTCCACTTTGTATGGATTTAAACGCCAGTTGTAGGCGAAGAAGGACTAGAATATGAATTTCAAACATGAGGACATATTCTCGTGATTTAAAATGTATTTGGCAGTATTTCATTACCATTTTATGGTGTGTTACTTTAATTTCCCAAAAATTCGAAATTATCTTCAGAAAATTTTTCATTTTTACTTAATGACATGGTGATGATCAAGCTTATTTATATCTTCAGTATATTATATTTTTAAAGAGTATAAATTGTTGCAATTACGTTTTGAAACTCATCCTTATGAGTCATAAAACACTCACCTCACGTTATTCTTATCTCTAAATAGAATATTTAACAAAGTTGTAGCTTCAAAAAGATTCATTCATAAATTAAACCTGAAATGTGTACAATTATTTAAAATTGTTTTAACTGTAATTGTGTTCCTAGATAGATCACAAATTATTATGAACTGTGGATCTACTCTTTATCTTATTAATCACCATTAATATTTTTTAAAGCACTTACCTTATCAGAATCAGTAGTATTCCCAGATCCGAAAGATGTAAGAGAATTCCTATCCAAATTTTCAGCACTTTCATCCAAAGACGCACATTCTTCTAGATCCCTATAGCAAAAGAAAAATTAAAACGATACATAAAAACACCAAGTGTTACTTCATAAGTAAACCCATCAATAGTCAAAAACGTTTTTCTCTATCTAATACACTAAATGATTGAGTTTTATATGAAAATTAATTATTATCAGAAACAATAATAATGAAATCTTACCTGCTAGATCTTTGACTGTGAGGTTTAAATTTAGCAGGACTTTTAGGTAATGAAAGAGGTAAAGCACCACTAAAGTAAGTCTCTTGAATAACTTCTCTTAATTTCTTGACCCATAACTGTTTTGTATCCAACGAAGACGCCCTTAAAACGATTCGATAATCCGAAATGGGGGCTCGTCCAGTCCATACTGCAAATTTGCATTCATCTGCTTCTATGTGTTCTGTTACTCCCAATTCTGATGTCTAAAATAACAAAAAAATATTAAATCAAAAAATAAAAAATTATTTTTAAAGTACCATTAATTTGTTTTTATAAATATATTTAACTTTTCCAGCTGAATCTTTAACTTCTTTAGTAAAGAGAAGATACAATTCAAAAAGGAAAATATGACGATCCCTTCCTTTTCTTATTATCTGTTTTGGATCCCATACACTAAATGCGTCTTGAAGTATGACTTCGCCTAGTTTATCAACAGATATATCACAGCCTTCCAAGAGGGATAAGTGCATAGCGTCGTTTGCTTTCTTTGGTACATTAAGCATAACTTCTAAACCATCCTACAACATTTGGTTAAAAAATATATTAAAACTAATAAATAATGTAATACTAATAATACCTTGATTTCTCCTTGTCCCTCTTGACAACAAGATTGCAAATCCTTGAGCAAAAGCTGATACTTAGTAATCCTTTGAACGGGTTTAATTAAATAAGCGGCGATCGGATGTTCGACTTTATGTTTTTTTTGTAATTCTTCAAAATAACTTCCACCATGTTGCACTAATAAACTATTCGATTCCGGTTTATTCTTACAATAATGCACGTACATATCAAATTTGGTAGCCCAAGTAACGAAACAATGCCCAACATCTTCAGGCATCGTCTCGTATTTTTCTAATTCCTTTAAAAATATCGAATTGTGGAAGTGATAAATTTCTTCGATATTTCCGAAAATGATGTCTTCTTTTCCAATCAATGATTGTGGTACACCACCATTTCGCATTTCGTACAAGAAACAATTTATACATGTTTCTAAATCTTTTACGTAAGTTCGTTCTGTTTGAAGTAACTCGGCCATAATAAATCTGAAATTAATAATTATTAATTAAATATAAAAAAATTTAAATAGTTTGATTAATTTTAATCGGTTTTAAAGATAAGAACCGTTCTATTATTATTTCATTTTATTTAAATCCCGTTACGACAGGCGATAATATTCATATCGCTTACCTATGCACAGCTGTTTTTACCACTGCCTTACAAGAACTGTATATTGTGTGATAATAGGGAGTGCATCGATAATCTACACTGGAATGCAACATCCTGTTGATGGCGCGCATACTAAAGACACTGACAATGAGAGACACGGTTTCTAGGCGAGGGTAATTATGGTAGGTCTCGGTGCCAGTGGGATAGGTTTAGGTCTTCACTGTAGACTAATTATAATTAAAACGTTATTAGTGGGGTGGGATAGTGGCAAGATTATTTGTTGGGTTTGAATTATTCTTTTAAAGTATTAATAATTAACTTTAAGTACCATAAAAAAAATATTTAAAAACAATTTATACGAAAAAAATTTAATACTAAAGGGAAGGAGGAAATAATTGTAAAATATATATAAATATATGGAAAAAAATTTTGTTATGAGGAACGAAATCTATTTTTACTTTTTTCTGATAAAATTTAAAGATCTTAAATCAATGGTAGATCTTATTGTCCAGATATTAGGGGTTAAAAGTTGATGGAACTTCGATATTTTTGAAGCAAATATCAATTCATCTTGATTTTTAAATGATAGGAAATAAAATTATATAATTTGTAGGTCAATTCAAAAATTTATACACAGGAGGGAGTTGTATATAATTCAGCAATAATTAATTAAAGTGAATCTGAACGATATTTTGATTCTAGTCCTAAATTCAATGACATAATCTAGTCTGGTTTTCAGTTACAGGGAAAGTAAAACAGGAAGAAAAAGTAGCATTGAATACAATCATTTTTAAAATGTAAGAGTTCATCGCGATTTGTTTAATGTATTTGTCTTTAAGATATTATTAAATACTTTTTGGAACTGAATAAAATCTGTTTTAATAAGATCAATTTTAACCAAATACTCGTTATGAGTTGTTTCTGTAGTAATCAGTTAATTAATCGATTTTTTCGATACCCAATTGTGTGCAAGTGCCATAAAGAAATAAAGTTCTTCTAAGAAATTGTAGCGGAATGAAAAACATGTTAGGAATATTAAGAAGAAGATTTACTGAATGAAACGTAGTGAACTGAATGGGCAATGTTAGATGAGTAAATTTTGTTGTCATTCAAAACAGCGTTAAAACTAGTTAAACATAAGAGTGCCTTGTAGCATAAATTGTGGGTATATAGTACTTATGTTTACACATTTTATGTATTACATAGGATATGTTATTAGTATTATACACATTTATACACCAAGTAAAAAAAATCAGATTTTAATAATGAAAATAAATCAATTTTAATATAATGATATTAGTAATAAGCGATTTTTTCTAAAATGTGTTGTCTTAGTCGTCGAGGAAGGTTTTGTATCTTGGTTTAGCTTGCGAATATTATATTTTATCATTCTATGAGAGAACAACAGGTTCTTCTTTGTGTAGTTTGTTTTCTTTCCACAGACTTTTGACTTTTTTATTAAAATCTTTGGTAAGTCAGGATTCACTTGTATTGTACCACAAACTAGTTTTTTCTTTCTTAGTAATAGTCAACCTTAAAAATGCTCTCATAGTAACGATTTTACAGGTGTGTATAGAAATTTCAAAATAATAGAAAATTAATTTTGCAAAGTTGTCTCCAGTAGATATATTTTGTCCCTCATTCTGGACAAAATGCTTTAATCACATTCAGTGTCTCTCAAATGATCTCTCATTAATATCATTGGTGTAAATTAGTTTGAGTAACTAACTCTATCAAAAAGGAAAACCGTAACCTCACTGTTACTCAGCGCATCACCAAGTTGAATAGTTACAAAAGTATATTTAATACCAGAAATATTTAAATAATCCTCTAAAGATCGTGCTACGTCATTTTTGATATAAGAATAGTACTTTTCTTCCAAATCATTGTCACTATCAAATTATATCACATTTCTTATTTGATGTTTTTGTGCTCTTGCATCAAATTCATGACCATTTTATATATATGACAATCAAATAAATTATTTGCCTATAATTCATTTAACTCTTCGTCTTAACGTTTCATCATCGTTAAAATTTCTTTGTTATAGCGAAAAGAAAATAATTTGACAATTTGATTTTATTTGCTAAAGAAAATACTTGCTTGAATATTTGCAAATATAGCTTGAAATACTTTGGGGAACAACTACTCTCTATGTTTTCTAAGAGCAAATCAACCCAACTCATAATCGGTCAGTAAACTTTGTAAGAATTTGATTGATATAGTGTTGGGTAGCTGACGATACTCCATCCTGACCAAATCACAAAATTATTTCGAGATAACTCCACACTTATACCAAATAGCTAAATTCTTCCAGAAATCTAAACTTTTTTAGGGGCATAAGGAACGTCAGTGTATTAGACATAGGGTATAATCTGGAGGTTTCTAGTTTTATTTCTAACAACCTGGGCAGTGGAAGCATACAATTTTATATCTAAACTATTAAAAAAAAACCAAACACCTTTACCTTACTTCACCAATTGTGAAGTAAGTTTTATTAAGAATGTCTGTCTTGTATCTAAAATTAGGAGTCGTTTTAGACGATGTTTTGACAGGTAGAAATCTAAAAAGTTATCTAACAAGGTTATCTGAACCAACACATGGCACATAACTGACTAAGCACACAAGTGGCTAATTCGTGACGCATCAACTCTAGTGAATCAAATAACAGGCATTTCACTGAAAATAGGTGCAACATATAGAAATGCCTTAACCATACAGCAAAATAGGAATCGAGAGTGGAAGGTTTACAAAGCTTTAAGTGTCTTATCACTGAAAACATGCTCTTCACTCAAGCTGATACTGGGTAACCTCAAAATCCTTAAGGACCTATGTCTAAATCACTTGATTGAAATTAAAACGGACCTTATACCGACAGAATATAATTTCGACCAGCCGTATAAGGTTATATTTAGAAGCAGGGATGATTGGATGAAGGGTGGACCTCAACTAAAAAGAGGAGCCCCTGCCTGGTACACGGATGTTTTAAATACAGTTGGATGCGGAGTAGGCATGGGCATTAGTGGGCCAAATACCCGCATTAAATTGCCTCTGAGCTCGGACATAACCATTTTTCAAGCAGAAGTACTTGATATAAACTTCTGCACCACTTTGAACCTACAAAAGGGACAGAAAGGTGCATCCAGAAACATTTTCACAGACAGTCGGGCCACCCTAAAGGCAATTTAGTTTTATGCCTCAGCAAAGGGAATGTGTGGACGCTCTCAGGATTCCTGGTCGGCAATGCGCCCCTAAAATACCACCTTTTCCACATTGGACAAGCTGAGAATTAAACTTGTCGACTTTACAACGGCGAGTCAGAAACGGCTGAACATATACTGTGTAATTTCATTGCCAGAGACCGCCTAACACACAACATTTTCGGTAAAGCTCTTTTGACACCTACCGACATAAAGGAACAAGACCTTGAAGCAATACTAAGGTTCATTAAGGACCTACATTTTCCCGAAATATTTGGAGGGCTAAAGTTACAATAGATCTTATGTATCTTATTATTGCTGCAGTCCCGCAGCAATAATAATAATAAGGTACAAATATTTCCAAAATATGTATATCTGTTCATAAACCAAATGAAAGGTATTTACATTACAAGCTGTATTATAAATCTTCAAAACGAGGTTCAAGTAAATACTTGATTTGAAAAAAATTTTATCTTTTCTAATATCTAAATCAGTAGCTCTTAATACCGTATGGAAAACTGTATGTTATAATAGGTACTTTACAGTTGTTAAGTTGACCTCTTGTTAACTAATAGTTAGTAACTGATAGTGATTACATCAATCAGATAACGATGCGAAGTATTTGTCTTACAATAAACGCTCAAAAGATAACTTTTTAAACCAAGTAGGTACATTACCACAATAATAACAAAATATATAATAGTGTATAACAAAGATCTTTAGTGGAGTTACAAATATAACACCTTGAACCTCCTTGAGATGCTACCATAAAACAATACATTAGGTCATATACTTAAAACAGAGTGTGAATAAGAAGGTAATCATGATATAGTTAGAAAGTCTTTGTAACTCTTCATATTATAAAACCTTTAATTGTTAATAAACGTTATTCATCTAATACTGTTACTACTAATATTATAATATGGTGTAGTTATGGAAGAACTAACAATTTTAGATATCTAATACAATTATGCAGGATAATTACCGGCATCTTTGAAACATAAATGATATTTGATTGAAAACCTTAAAAGTTCCTTTAACACTTCGAGATGTGTTTCGTTGCTACAGAGAACGATGGTAAAGTAGATAAACTTAAAATTGCGAATGTAATAGGCTCTGAAGAGACAGACCTAAATGCTGAAGAACTATAGTTCAAGTTTTATGGTGAAATTTAAAACGTGTTATGTTACATGGAAAGGCAAAATTAATGAAAGATTTGTCTTTAATAATAGAATTCAGTACGCTGTTGACCATTGTTTATGTGATTTGAAATTGTTAATTCAATCATGTGAGCATGGATATCAAGAATATAGTTTAATGCATAGAACAATTCTTGGAACCAGGATATAAGATAACAAAAAAATGTTAAATACAAAAAATATTATCAATTTAGGATTATCAAAATTGAAACGACTAATCCATTCTTATGTAAATATTCTTATAATGTCATCTTTAACTTTATCTTTATAACCCAGAGTAACTGATTTCCAACGTGAGCTATCAGAGGCAAATGAAGCAAACAATGAATAGTGGTGTAAAAAAATATAGAAAAGGTTATACTAAGAGGTGTTGGCGAATTTCAAATTTAGAAGGTGTGTTTAAAATGTTATTAATGACTTTTAATCTCAGCCAGATCTAATCCCTACGTAGAAGTAGGTATCTCTGGAATATATCAGCTAGCTTTCAAGTAAAAGAGTCAAACGATTCGATACCAAGAATAGAGAGTACTTATTCTAAAGAAAAAAGAAAGAAGATTACGACGATGGCGACGATGATGGAGATAACAATGGTTGAAATGTTGAAAATCATGGTGGCAATGACGGGGAATTTATTTATTTCTAATTTTAAGTACAATAATATTAATTTTAAGCATATTGTTACTACATAATAGCTTATTAATAACTTTGGTCAAGACAGTTTGAAAATTTCCTTCTGAAAGTCGTTAGTATTACTAGCCATCAAAATGTAAAAAGATGATGGAGCCAATTTGAACCAACATGACATAAAGGCAGAAGAAACATAATATGTAAGCTTCCTTAAAACAAATCTTTCATGTCCTTCTTTCTTTAAAAGAGTGAATTAAATATTTTGATACATAAATAGCTTCAATTCATTGGTGTTTAATGATAACAAACCTATCATAAACCATAGCTTTACTTTTAGAGCACTAAAGTATAAATGCATTCTAACAGCAAACAATGTTGAAATCACTAATCGATAGTATCTAAGTCATTAAGTTTGTTAAATTTGCTATGTGTAATTGGTCATAAAATTGAAGGAATATTAGGACATCTTTATTCGTTTTAGTGTTATGGCTTTTATTGTTAAATATATGAAAATAACTATCTATCAAGTACATGATTGTGTGGTTATCTCTGTTTTTCACAGACTCATGTCTCCCAATAAACCTACTTTTGTCTTCATTACTAATTTACGCCGAAATAAGCGTAAACCATATTTACCACGAAACTGTTAATGTCATAACACAAATATAATCCCACAGCACGACACCATATAATAACAAACCATTATTTGCAGCATGACAGCCTTATGGTTGTAACAAGAACTCCTCTAAATAATCCACTAAGAAATTTTCGTTCAGAAATTTGTGTTTAAATGAGTCATGAGCCTGATTTGCAGAACTATAAGTTACAGAATATGAAATAAAAAGAGCAAAAAATAATTTAACAACAAAAACATCAAAGTTATGTTGCATAGTGACATTGTTACAGCCAAATTTGATGATTGCTCTTTGATTAACAAGCACGACATGGATGTAAAAAAAAATTGTACTTTCATCTTACTCATGAAGGATTGAGACTTTGTACTGTTCTAGTCAATATACTACTTGGATTATGTTGGAAAAGGATTTAAAAAATAATTTTTAACCCATAGCAACTATAAAACAAAGATTTTTACGAATGAAAGAACATGAAAGTATGTCGCCATATAGCAACTAAAAAAGTAGAGTGTAATTAGAATAAGGATTTTTCATTAATTAACTTTTTATAATTTATTTTGTTACATCTAATTTTATTGTTGTAACAAAATTGTTTAAACACCGCAAGGTTAGCAACATAATAGAACTTTCATTAAAAAAATTAATAAACCACTTACTCTTTTCTTCTAGCAGATCTCCTTTTTTCTTCATTCAATTCTTTCAATTCTTTAGCGGCTACTTTAGCTTCCAAACTAGGATCAGAATTTCGATCGATTGACAATTCTTTTTTCTCAGTTTCCTCTTCAACTTGAATTCCCAAAGTTTCCTCTAATTGTTGCCTATAACTTTCCATGCGAGAACTAAAGTCTTTATATCGATTGTCAACGGCTGCGACCCATTGTTTAATGGAATTAGCGTGAGCATGTCCTTTTTCCACCAAACTATCGGCTAGTTGTATTAAAAGTTTAACCCTTTCGCGCGTTTCTTTTGCGGTTCCTTTGAATTCATTGTGTTCGCGAAGTAAACTCTCAGTTTCCTCAATGTTGTTTCCTAAGTTTGTTGCGTGTGTGGTTAAGTAACATTCTCCGGTATCGTGAATCCATTCAATAGCTTGTTTCGCAGATCTTTCGAATAAAACAAATTGTTGGCATTGATCTAATCGTTTTTTGCGTAAAGTCCAGTGTTCTAAGACTTTGTTTTCTTGACTTAGTAGTTTTTCTAAAATTCCTTTGACTCTACTTTCTTGATTTCCTGCTGAGCTTGGATAATTGTAAAACTGTAAACTTCTCGTGGTGTATTTTAAAAAAGTTTCTGCTGTTCGTCTCGCTAAAGTACAAGCTTTAAGAAAAGCTTCTTTTTGTTCCTGGTGTTTATTAATAAGTTGAGAAATTGACGTGGCTTTATCAATACCACTTTGAGATCCAGTAGCGCACCAGTCTTCATCTCTGCGATATTCTCTTTCTAAACTATCCAAAACTGAACAAACTTGTTCAGCTGTTTTATAAAAGTTTAAACTAGCGGTTACTAATTTGTGTCTTTCTTCTGCACAAGTAACTAATTGCTGCCATCTTTTCGTAACTTCTTCAGATATTTCCCTGATGCTTTGAGGATCATAATGATTAGCATTAATTAGCGCATCCGCGCGGTATTTGACTTGAACCGCCGAAGTATGAGTTTTTTCAATAGCAACTTGAAATTGTTCATGTTCTTTTTTTAATTGTTCCGCATCAGCTAAACTGTTGGGAATTGCAAAACTAGCCATCAGCATTGATTCTCCGTTTCTAATCCAACTAATTACTTGATTAGCATCGTTTTGGAACTGACTTAATTGAATACATTGTTCCAATTTAATTCTTTTCATTTCAGCGTATTCTTCTAATTCCATCTCACGATCACGCAGAAACTCTAAAAGTACTTGAACTCTTGTTTGAGCGTTACATTGAGAATCTGCCATAACGCAGATACCTGAAGATTCAAAAACTTGGATCAGATCTTGCCCTTGTTGCAAAACGTGATAGTTAGTGTTTTGCATTTGCGTCACGCTCTCATTGTGAAGTCTTAGAAATTGTTCTGCTTTTGCTATGTCTCTTGGAAGCTCAAAATGTTGGAGTTCTTCACACCACATTTCAAATTGAGAAGATACTTCAACAGCGTCTCTTTCAAATAATCTTAATCTTAAACAAAAATCTAATCGCATTTTTCTCGTAGACCATAATTCTTCTAAATCATTTCTTTGTTTTGATAATCTATCCAAAGCCGCTTCAATAGCGGAAATAGAACCTGTGGAGTCAATTTCACCGATCGATCTTAACTCTTGGAGCAGAGCTTCTCCTTGAGCTATCGTTGATGCGCAAGCCTTCAAACTTTGGTCGCGATGTTGCGCAGTTTGTTCCAAAAGACGTTCCGTCGTGTCTAAAGGTTCCGCAATACTTTCATCGTTTTGAAGTTCTTGTCGTAATTCATCGACCCATGTACTTAATTCTTTTTCTTGGGTGTAAAATAAAACGGCTAATTCTAACCTTCTTCTTCTTTGTTCGACTCTTGCCGCAAAAGAAGCAACGTGAGTTTCTAATTCATGGGCTACAGAATAAATTTCATTTGGATCACATTCTCCTGTATGAGCTAATTCATCCGCAGCAGCTAGTAATTTGTCTGCATTTGTGTAAGTGTTCTAAAAATGAAGGAAAAATCTGTTAGTTGTAAGATATGATTACGTATTATTTTGTATTAATTTGTAAATGTAAGTTAAAAGCAGGGATCAATTAAAAGCAAGAGTTATAAGTTAATGAGTGTACCTGTGCAACATTTTCGAAATGTTCATGACTCTTTTGGTACACTCGGGCTTTTTGTAAATTTCTACCAATCCCTGTGTTTTTACGGATGAACACTTCACCATGATTCGATAACCAATCCAGCACCTATAAGAAAGCATGATAACGAAAAGCGAAAACGGCGAAATCGCCATAAAAAGAAATACCTGTTTAACGTCCTCTTGGAACAACCTCAAAGCTAATCGTTGGTGGAGCTTAATCTTCTTTGTATGCCATTTTTGTTCCAACGCTCTGTGATGATTTAAAATTTGATGTATTACCTGCAAGACATGACTAGCACCTTCACTGTAATCCGCAGCTGGATTTCCACCAGGTCTATTTTCATAGTTACTTGAACTATCGCTCTATAAAAATAGAAAGAACTGTTTGTAAATACAAAATAAAATAATCAAGATCTGACAAAATAAATGCATGGATTTTACACTAATTTTATCAGTTTCCAATTTAAAATGATAAATCTAAGATCATTTTTTTAATCGTGTTGTCTTTTTAACACCTTTTGAGTGCAACGAAGCTGATGTAGATTAGTGGTAAAGGGCGCGATTGCGCCACGTGCTACCTATCGGGTTAACACTCAAAACGTCTTGGATTCAAGTTCCAGAGAATGAAGGTTGAGCAATCCCCCGTTAAGTCGTCAGCCCCGGTAACCTTATCTCATTGATGTGCACTCTCTCTCTTGTATTTTCGCCGGGCTAAGATTGTTGTGTAATCTTACCCTTGAAAAGGAATCAAATCGCCATAGTAAGATTTTGTGGGTATCCAATATTTCTGACATTGAGATTCCAGATGCAGTTTTTATAATATGCAATTTAGTTTTACTTATCCAAATTTTTGACAAATTGACAAACAAGATATCAGCTAATGAATAGCAGGAAACCGAATATCTTCATAGTTGTTCTTCTAGATCTTGATTACGTGAAATTTATGTACACTTTATGCAATTCTATTCCAGTAACTTCTACTGAAGTACAGTTAAATTTACCTGATTTTAAGAATAACTTGATATTGATTTTAGAACCTACACCATTTAGAATCGCATTCCATAAAATTTGTACAGGTTTATTGCAGTGTCATTCTACTGACCTTTGACCTTCTACTGATTTCTAGGTCCCGTGTCACTTGAAATTCAGATAGATTTTTCGAAATGTTTTATTGATTTTGAAATAATGCTTATTTCCATTTATTAGGTCGTATGGGCAACTAGAATATTTGATATGAAGTAGCCAATCTGACAAACACCGTGACTTTCTTCCTGGATATGGGTTTCTCCAATGCAGTTTTTTCGACTTCTTATAGATTTTAATCATAGTATTAGCCATAACTTTTACACAGCTCTGTTTTCTTAAAATATGAGCACCACAAACTAAATGGAGTTCTTTTTGGGTTTAGTTTTTAATTTCATGAACTACATAGTTTGAGTACAGTTTATGTTAGGACATTCTAGTAGCCCTTAATGAAGATGATTGTGAATCAATGCCATTGTATTTGGTAGTCAAATTTGACATAGATTGTATGGACTTTTCTCAAGGAAACCATCACCGTTGTAGCTCATTTCATTTCATCAGATATTGAGACCAACAAAAGTAACAACACACAAGTTGATGTTTGGTTCTTGTTGCACTTTTATTGCAACAAGAACCAAATATCAACTTTGTAGAACTACTCCTGCGCCTCGGTTTCGTCAACTTTAAGTAGGTTTTCATATGTCGGTTTTTGGCCACAATCAATACTTCTGGTGTGGACCGTAAAAATCTGTCAAATTTCACGGTGGTCTTTCTGAATCTAGATGCCGTAATGTTGGTGTAAATTGTTTCGCAAACCGATGTTTGAGCTATGAAGCTGCTTCTTTCCAATTTTTTTTCATTTTTCTTCCAATTCACAAAAAATATTATTGAAAAGAAAGCTGTAGGCTGTATCCAAACGTAGAGCGGCATTCTACCTGCCCCTTAGGAACATTTTTAGTAAATGAAAGTGGAAGTCTCGCATAGCACTGCCACGCATACATTCTTTGGTAGGTTCACACTTGCGTATGGCAGTATTATATTCTATAAACACGGCGTGTTGCTGCCGCACACTTGTCGCGCTATATTTATTTATAATTTAATTGATGATAAAAAGCAGAAAACCGACAAAGTTTGTGGTTCTCCTATTAGATGAGTTTTCTATGAATCAGTGAGTTCATCCTAGTGAACTCTGATACAGTTTATATCCATTTATCAGTTTTCCGTCTTTCATTGCATTAAACTCATATAGATTTTCTCATTTACGATTCTTATTAATTTTCTGAACAACCAATAATTCTGATATAACATATAATCAGGATGTTCTTCCTGGGTCCGGATTCCATGATGTTTATGCTTTGTAACTTCTTAATAATGCACTGCTATCAGATAATGTGAAAAATGACAAATTTCGTTGTCGGTTGTCCTTCATTCCATGAAGGTTCATTTCTATTCTATTCGTTTCTATTGGTTCATGATTTATCATATTTTGGAATAAACATCTTGCAACTCCTGCTGAATCTAGAGGACTCTATTGGTTTCATATAAGTTTTCCGTAATCCACTTCTTTAAAAAAAATTTTAACTTTGCACGAATTTTTGACACAAACTGGACGGATTCAAAAAGTGCAATTCTTTTCACATTAGATGACACATTAGAAACTCAATTATTTCATTCATCAGATTTTGATAATAGGCAAAATTACTGCATTTAGGCAGAAGAAAAATGGCAAACATAACATTTGTCATCCTGGGTGGTGATTGCTTCAAGTTTGTGTAGATTCTATCTAGTGATTTGAATGTAGCTAATTTCTATTTATCATATTTAGGTAATACACAAATCGATGCGATTCCATCCAAGTAGTATTCCATAATTTAGATTTTAATAACAATCAATATTAATTACAAGCTTTTTGTTATTATTGTATCAGACCCACTTATATCTTATAAATGGTCTCAGCATCCAGCATTTCCAGGAATGGTTTTCACAGTTAGACAAACAGCAATCGATAAATTAATCTTCGACAAATCTTCGATAAATTAGCAATCAATGGTATTTTGAAAATGTGGTGTTTGTCTATTTGGTCCTACAGTGACTACACTTTTTTTGGGGTTAGATATTCCTCAAATTGATAAATCGCACAACACTGTAGAAGTTGGATTGATCCAACTTCTACTAAAGTGAAACTATAATCCAATCTGCCGCAAATATTCATAAGAAACAAAGGCAAGCCTGGTTGTTTTGATTGTGGCGAATGGCCTCATTGAAGTTGGTCAGGCGTAGATGTGGTAATAGACAGAGACTATTTTCGACACAGCTAACAAACTGTACAGGGTGTTCAAATTTCGATGGGTTTTTGAATTATAAACACAACTCAAATACTGAATACTCAACTTCTAAAATACTTAACTCTTTATAACTCAAAAACCGTGATGACTAGAAAAATTCTACGTGCAACATTGTATTCTACGTGAAAAAATCTATTAGAACCCGTTTTTACGTTTCCGGATAGCCCAGACACAGGAGGTGTCTGAAAATCGTAAATTTTGAAACTCCCTGTATATTAAAAACGAAGAGGGCTATGAAAATTTGGTTTGCGCCATTGTAAGTTTCACAAAAAAAATAATAACATAATAACTGAGATACCCTGCAAACCCATCGACATTTGGACACCCTGTACAGATTTGTCTTGATAGTGAAATGTGAACCAAAACTTCATAATATTTCTGGATTTAAATTCCATAATGTTGGTGTAGGTTTTTTTATAATGTAATTTCTAACTTCTGATAAACCTTTTCTGGAAAGCATAATTTTCTGAATAACACAAATAAAACTTATTGTATAGGAGATATCCGACACAAACTTCATGAACCTTTTCTAAACATTAATTTCCTAAAATTTATAATAGTACCTTTACAAGTGCAGTTCTGTTGATACTTGATGCAGTTCATGTTCATTTGTCAGAATTGTACATAAGTAAAAATTTCTGTTAAGGAAGATTGAATCGTGGTTGGACCTTGATTCCATGATGTTGGTGTTGATTTTTTATTATGATTCTAGTGATTCTAAGCTCCATCAAACGTATGTAGTATTAACGTAATGTTTTCGCATCTTATGAAATTTGTTTCCTCTTAATAAATTTTGTTAATGAACAACATTCCTAACATTGAACATGAATTAATTCCTTCCATTCTTACTCTCTGGTGAAGCTCGTTTCCGTTTATCAGATTATGTGATGTTCAAAAAATACTTATTGGATAGGAGGAATTAAAACTTCATGAAAATTTCTCCAGAGCAACCGCTTCAAAATATTGAATGTGTTTTTGACATCAGATAAAACTTATTTCCAATGATTAGATTTTACAACAACCAAATTACTGTATTTGGTAGATGTATTCCATGAAATCACATCATATCAATTTATCTAACATTTGGATCAACAAAAATTATTGATGTTAGGCAGTGAAGATCTGACATAAACTTCTTTCAAGTCTTGTTTGAGCTGTAATCTTTGAGCTTTATACATACTTTCCATCAAGATTTTTGTAATGTGGTCTCTAACTTCTGATGAAGCTCATTTTCATTTGTCACATTTTGCGAAAACTTATGGAGCTTTTGTTTTGCGACGATTATCTAAGCTCGTAACAGCGCAATTTTTTTGACATCAGATAAAAGTCAGTTCCATTTATTATATTTTGATAATCAGCAAACTTACTGTGTTTGGATAGCAGGAAATGATAAATTTCATGGTTCTCCTCCTGGACCTTGATGCCAATAAATTTATTAAGGTTTATATACTGCCACTTTAATGACTTCTGATGTTGAGCTTCATCATTCAGTTTATCATATTTTGGTAATAATCAAAATTACTGACATTATACAGTAAAAATCTGATGGATGAGAATCTGATGAGCAGGCAATCTGAAACTTACCTGCTCTGATTAAGCAGAAGTGAAGTTCAAGATAGCTTTTTTTCTCCCAGACTATTCAATTAATGGATTACTTATTTCCATAAAATCCGTGTCTTTCTTGAAGGAACCTTGTTTTGTAATACAGTTATATTGATGGCTAAAGAAATTAATTTTCAATATTCAACAGTCTACATACTAGATATCAAATATCTATAAAATCCCATTTCTAGATTACATCCATTCGTTAAAATAAGATCAATAACATTCAAAAATCCATGTATTTATTTTACTAGACCCGCTATAAACCGGTTATTTAAAACACAAATTATACAAATGCAATTTTTTGTATTAATTTAACTTTTTTTATGTTATTTTTTAATAAAACAAATAATATATTTACATGTTTCCTCTCAGTTCCTGGTTGATTGCAGACCTGCACCAAGTGGTCTAACTGATAGAGGAGCTTCTTACTCGTGCTATGTACCTAACACAATAAACCAACACCACAAAAGAATTAAAATCGTGTGTGAGACAAAAATTTTTTAACGGTTAGTTGTTAATAAACAGATACATTAAGAACACGAGCGATTAAAAACAAAGTGTATGCGCTATAATAATAGTGGTAGTTCCCCAGCCATCTCAAAGTGGTGAGTAGAGAGAGGTTTTTATAAAAGAAATGGAAGTCTGCAGTGCCCCGAAATAGCTGAAAATTCTAATTTTGAACTAATCTCGTACATTCGTTATTGTTTTCCGGTCAGCCGCATCTTTCTGCGATGTCGTGGAATTATGGCACACTTGGAGCATCACGTCCAGACCGTTCAGCAGAGCTTGATAAGCGTTATATACCTTTAAATTGAATCATTGAATGGAATATAAAATTATTTAAGCATCTAGATGGAAATTGTAAAAAAGTGTAAAAAATTGGGGGTTATTTACCTCTGTATAGGCCTGGCACATTGATTCGTAAAGATTTTGATGTTGATGAATTGAGTTTTCAAGCATTAATATTTCTGTAGGTATATTGGTATTTTCACAAGCCCCATTCCAAGCACCGACGTTATCGACGTATTGTTCAGCCTTATGATGAAAGATAACGGAAAGAGCCAATACCGCTGTACGTTCATCCAATCCAGCAGCAAAATCCTTCCAAGATCGATCGAGTCGATTAGCAACCGATCTAATGTGAGTAGCAGCGTAATGCCCTCCTTCAATTAATCTTCCAGCCACCGAAAGAATTCTACTGATATTCACGTAAACATTCATTGAACTCATTGTAAAATGTTGATGTTCTTCTTGTAGTTGTTTAGCTAATTGGTAAGTGTGGCCGATTTCCACGTAATTTACTAGAAAAACCTCACGATTGTGACATATCCAATCAAACATTTTCTCACAGTCTTGTTCGAAGAGGCGGAGTTGAAAGCACTGGTCCAGTTTCAGTTTTTTATGGTGCCAGAGTTGAAGTAGGTGTTTTTGAGAGGAGTGGACCGCTTCGAGGTTTTGAATTACTAAGCTTTTAATATCATTATCCATACTACTACCACTTGGTGATTCTCCGTCTCTTCCACCGGTTCCTCCACCTCCTTGACCTGTATCGTTACCACAAACTTTTTGTAATAATCTCTGACCTAAATAAATAAAAAGAAAATGATTCAATTTTTAAATTAAATGAAGAAAGTAAATTGTTTTCACTTCAAATTAATTATAATTAGTATCTTAAATAACCCATCAATTTATTAATTAGCTTTTCCCAAATATTACTACCTATGGTTCAAAATCCCATTAAATGTTAGAAAGCAGTGAGACTAATTGACGAATTAATTCATGTGTAGTCATAAATATTCATAGCACACGAAGCGAGATCGCATAAACGGTTTTACTGGGAATTGTTAATATCTAATAATTGATTGGAAAGCTTACCTAGCAAATCGATGTCCTCTACTGGTGCTTTCATTATTTTCTTCTTCATCTCATTGTGTAAGTCGATTTTATGCTTGGCACCACTAACATCGTCCGCATAATCGCTCCTTGCTAAATCCTCCTGCAGATCGTCAAGCCTATCAAGTAGATCTGCAGCTTGCCAGGAAAACTCTTCTACCGCTACCCTACTTTCGAGCCAGTTTGCGTGGTCGTAACTTAGAGTACCCTCCAAGTCTGAGGTCAATTGAGAAGTATCTATAATTTTTGGCAAGGCCTCTAGACTAATCATATTTGTCTGCAATGCAACACAAAATTGGAAATAAATACATAAATCTAAAATAACTTTGTAATTGCAACCTCAAATTTGTACTTATGTGATCCCAATGACGTTCTCTGTTTCTGCCAAAAGTTATCGGGTTTTACTATGAGCGCTTGATGAACTACGCCCGGAGGAAAATGTTCGTGAAGGGCTTTTAGGATGGGTTTTACGGTGGACCATGTTGCTCCTCTCATATCCACGAGAACTGTAAATCCCAATTCTCGAGCTTCGCTACTAAAAAGAAAATACAAAAAAAAATAAGATTATGTATAATAAAATTTTTTTTAGAAATAAATCTTGAGTCATAAAAAAACAAAATGCATTTAAAGACCGGTTTGTGAATATGGTATATGTGCTACTTAAAATAATATCGGTCATGCAATGTTGGTAAACACTTTCTAAAGATAAAACAATGCGAAATTTGTTGTCACATTTCTATAGGTATATAAAAAAACGTATACAATAGAATTGTTTTAATTCTTTTAAAGTAACATGTCATCACTAAATAAATCACTAAATAAATCTGTAGAATTAACGTTGGGGTTCTAGAATTGAATTTAACCGCAGAGTACTTTAAACTCTGATAAGAAGTTTATTTCTTTTTTTTTGTGTTAATCTCGAAGCAGCTGGGTCAGGAGAAAACAGAAGCAAAGAAGTGGTTTGGAGTAGTTTTAAAAGTGCTACAAGTAAGGACGAAAACTTTGTTCACGAAAGACAAATACTTTCAGACCTGAGATTTTATCCACGTATCAAACACGGGGGGGTATTTCTCGCGAACAAGGCCACTTACTGAACTTTTAAACAAATCCACGCAGAGATTTACGGCGCAGATGTAGCGTGTTGCCGTTTCACGTATACCATAAATTATACGAAACACAAGAAATAATTTACATCTAAATTTCCTAAAGTTCGGGACCATAATTATTGTGATAACAAAAAAATTTAGGTTGACGAGATTAAAGATTATTTTCTTTTTTTGGGATAGTTAAAATAGTTGTGGCATAAATTTGCCAAAAAAAGAAAATAAAATGTTGAATTCAAGGTTTTCGTCAAAAAAAGTTGGTTTAAATTTTAACGAGAAAAAAAGGCGTGTATAAAGCTCTTTCCTGGTAAGTATTACTTTGTGAATGAATGTCAACTGGTATAATAAAGGAGATTTTACTGAGATTGGTAGGTTTCATACAGAGGCGGTTGTAAAATTTCATTTTGCACCGTAAAAAAGGACCATAAACTAGGTATTGTATCTCTGCGAAAAACGAAATATTTTTTTCATGATTACGATTTTTTAACGATCTTTTTATCTTAACCTCACACCTTAAATCTAATGTTTAAACTTTAATGTTTACGTAAAAATTAAAATCCTTTTATGTTTTTTATCGCTTTTTAAAAACATAATAAATCAATACTCAATTTATCTGAAATGCATCGTGAGTGACAAACTTTATTTTCTGAATCATTGAATTCATCTATTGTAATAACAATTTCTATCAAGAAAACAACAGTTTTTCCAAGAACTGATATGCTGCGTTACAAAACTATGTGTTAGAAACAGTTTATTTTTATACACATATATACTAAATGTGTAATCAACCTAAAACAATATCATAGAATTCTTTTTTACAAAAGCATTAAATAAACACAAACGTTTTATTGGACCATCTTTGATATAAAATTTAACTTGATGTCTCGGAATAGCACAAGAAACCGTTTTTAGCTCATTGTACGTCTACTTATAACATTATATTGTCATCACTTTAATGGTTCTTTTGATAACTATTGTAATATTGGAGGTTCGTTACGGAATCCTCATAGCAAAATGTGGAACTGAATTTTCATTCATCATTCTGCCCCACTTTCGCGTGCTGGGTGATTGAAACTAAACGACCCAAGCGTAATGAAAGACAAATTGGATTTTTTAAATTGATTTCTTTTTGTGTTTAACATTATTCTTTAGATCTTTTATGACAAATATGCAATTTCTTGATAAATGTGCATAAATACCTATTATGCAGGTAAAAGTAAATATAAGATAACAAAGCGTTTTCAAATGTATTTTCGATATATCAAATTCAATATTTACATTTACCGATTAATGTGCATATATCCCGAAATACGCATACTCATCATAACTTATTATCATATTGGTTACGAAGTAGTTATTTAACCCTTAACCCGAAACATAGGCCCAGCAGACAGTTTGAGTTGTCATAGTGCAGTGTGATGTGAGTAGTAGACTCTAGAAACGAGCAAGTCTATGAAACCAGTTGTTTCAAATTACGGTAAGGAGGTCCTATAGACCAATGTTTCTAGTTCCATATATATACTAAACAAAAGTAGCAACTATGGATAAACCAAGTTCTAGTAGACATGATACCCGAATAAATTTGAACGATCCAGATTTTGAAAATAAGGTACACGAAATGTTGGCTAACGGAACAAGTTTATATTCATCGAACGAAGAACCTGATGAAATAGCAGATGATTCGGACCAAGATCCTGATTATATTTTAGAGTATAGTAATGATTAAAGTCAGATGATGATTTC